AGGCTTGGTACTCTATACCAGGCAGTTCCTCTCCAATGCTGTGTCTCTCGCCCAACAGCATATCAGAACGTCTCTTCACAATGCAGCAAAGTGATGTGGCATTTTGTGCCTGGGAAGATAATAGGAAGTCTTCAGTCAAGCTGCAAAAGAGATGGTCAGATTTCGCGATTGTGCTGCCGGTCTGTGCTTATTCGAGCTTGATGCACATAAATACCTAAATACAGAGGGAGAGCAACTTTACTTGCTGGAGTAAAAGGACAGCTGGCAGGAAAAGGAAATTGTGGGGTTTTTTTGGGGGGGAAAGGGTGCCTTCCTAGGGTTGCCAACCTCCAGGTGAACAGGGTAGGCCCTGGAGATTGCTTGCTATTGCATTTCATCTCCAGGGGGAGATCGGTTCCCCGGGAGAAAATGGCTGCTTTGGAGGGTGGGCTCTAAGGCAGGGGTGTCAAACATGCGGCCCGGGGGGCGGATGAGGCCCCCGGAGGGCTTCTATCAGGCCCGCGGTGGAATTTGCTGTCTTCCGCTTCTTCTTCCAGTTCTGCTGCTGCTGTGTCGTCGTAGGCTTGCAGCTTACAGATACACACCCGAACAGCATACTCAAGATTGCAACAGCACAGACATTTGGATGCAATAATTCAGAGCAAGGGGTGTCAGTTATCAGACACTGTTAAATAAACAAAATGTTGCACGAGTGCTAATGTTTTAAGCATGTTTTTATTTTAAGTAAAAAAAACCCCACCTTTGTGTTTGTGTCCTTTATAAAGTTTATATCTCCGCTACCAGGCATTACATTGTATGACACACGTGGCCCGGCCCAACAAGGTCTCATTTATGTCAGATCCGGCCCTCATAATAGGGTTGCCAAATCCCCCGGTTTGCCAGGGGTCCCCCATTTTTGGGGGGGGTTCTACCCGCTGCCGGCCAGATGACTATCAGGGGAGGCCCCACCCCCAACACCCACAGCTACCCCTCTCCTTTCTCTCTTGAGAGAGAGGGGTGGCTGCCTTTAAGTTTGTGGAATGGAACCCGTGTTTCCTCCCCAGCTCAGGCTTGCAGGGAAATGCCAGCTTTGTGCACTTAAAAGGGAAACGTGGCTTTTGCTCTTAAAGGGGAAACGCCGGCTCCTGCACTTAAAAGGGAAACGCCAGTTTCTTTAAGTGCAGGGAACTGGTGTTTTTGGAGATCCGGCACGTGGGCGGGTGGGGGGGGGCAGCGGCGGACATCCCCAATGTGATGTCATTACGTCGGGGATGCCCCGCCCCCTCCAAGAATGCCCCCAAAGTCCCCCGCTGGGGTGGAAGATGGACTTGGCAACCCTACCTCATAACGCGTTTGGCAGCCCTGCTCTAAGGCATCATATCTTGCTGAGGTCCCTTCCCTCCCCAAACTGTCTCCTCCCCAGGCTCTGCCCTCACAAATCTCTGGGAATTTCCCCGTCCACAAATCTCCAGGTATTTCCCCACCAAAAGCTGGAAACCGTACCCCTCTTTTGGCAAAGGATGATTTCTTCTGTGCTTTCTCGCCAAGTTTTCCGACAGGATTCAACATACCAAGAATGGATTCTGCATGCAGCAGGGGGAAAATAAGCTGGGGGCCTGCAGGGAATGGTGGGAGGAAGGGGAAGGGTTTGAAAATTCCCCCATACCTGAACAATCTCTCTCTCTCTCTCTCTCTCTCTTGGTGTAGTGGCTGAGTGTGCGGACTCTAATCTGGGAGGACCGGGTTTGATTCCCCACTCCTCCACTTGCAGCTGCTGGATGACCTTGGGCAAGCCGTAGCTCTGATAAGAGCTGTTCTTGAAAAGGAGCAGTTTCTGTCAGCTCTCTCAGCCCCACCTACCTCACAGGGTGTCTGTTGTGGGGAGGGGAAGGGAAAGGAGTTTGTAAGCCACTCTGAGACGCCTTTGGGTAGTAAAGAGAGGGGTATAAATCCAATCTCCTCCTCCTCTTCTTCTTCTTCTTCTTCTTCTTCTTCTTCTTCTTCTTCTTCTTCTTCTTCTTCTTCTTCTTCTTCTTCTTCTGAATAGTGATCTAAAATACTTTTCAGGACTATTAGGTCACTATTCAACTGGTGCAGTTGGGATTTATTCATGGTGGCAAAACTATTTGTTATGCGTCTTAATTTTGGTTGTAAGTAGAACTGTATAAGGAGAGCTTATAATGGGAGCTGCGGTGGCTCAAGTGGTTAAGACGCTGAGCTGCAGACTGGAAGGTCGGTAGTTCAGCAGTTCGAGACCCGAGTGTGCCGCATGACGGAGTGAGCTCCTGCCAACCTAGCAGTTCAAAAGCAAGAAATTGCAAGTAGATAAATAGGTACTGCTTCAGTGGGAAGGTAACAGCATTTCATGCGCCTCGGCATTTAGTCATGCCGGCCACGTGACCATGGAAATGTCTTTGGACATTTTGGATATTCCAAGCTTTTCGGCTTGGAAACGGAGGTGAGCACCGCATCCCTAAAGTCGGATTTGACTGGCTTTCGAGCAATGGAAACCTTTACCTTTATCCTATAAGGAGATAGTAGTCTCTAATGTGATCTGTACAGGGTGGCAGATTATTCTGTTTATTTGTTTGTGTGCCCTCTAAGTGGTGGCTGGATATCTCCTGGTATTACAGCTGATCTCTTGATAACAGAGATCAGTCCCCCTGGAGAAAAGGGCTGCTTGGAAGGTGGGCATACCCTACTGAAGCCCCTCCCCAATCCCCGCCCTCCTCAGGAGATCCACCCCCCTAAAATCTCCAGGTATTTCCCAACCCAAAGTTGGCAACCCTACTGAATGATGGGCTCTTCCCCTATGGCCTCCTTGTGGTTTGCGATCTTTGAACGAAGCTCCTGCCAGGAAGTATGATAAGCAGCTAAGGAGGTGCCGACCACCAGGATGGAGCCATGCTCCCTCTAAGCTGTGGAGCCTTGCGAGCAAAAGTTCTACTTTGTGGGCTACTGGCATTAAAGTCGCGAGTGAGCAATTTGGCGACTGCATGAATCAGGTTGCTCCGGAGCCCTCCTTCCTGAGCGGAGACGGAAATGCGTGAGCCGGAGGCTAAGAAATGGAGCTAGCTCACACTAACTCAGCTTGGAGGGAACGCTGACTGGGAGATGTCCAAGTATTACAACTGATCTCCAGACGAGAAAGATCAGTTCCCCTGGAGAAAATGGCTCCTTTGGAGGGTGGGCTCTGTGGCATTATACCCTGCTGAAATCCCTCCCCTCTCCCAACCCCGGCTTCCTCAGGATCCACCCCCCAGAATCTCCAGGTTTTTCCCAGCCTCAAGCTTGCAAGCAGCCATAACATTTAGGATATTATGGGTTGGTGTCCTGAATGCCTTTTCTTGTAGGGTTGCCAACAAAACACGGTGAAAACACAGCGTGCAAATGATCAAAAACACACACACACAAAACGCACTGCGCGATTGCAATGAACAAGTCTTATATCAATGCCTTTAAATAAATATTTTTAAATACCAAATGCGTGTATATTCTTAATCTGTATCTTGTTGATAGCTGGGAGGCTACTGGTTGAAAGAGATCTCATAGAGCATTGGGTAAGAATGCCCTATTGTGAAAACAACACAATTGTTTGTACTGAGTAACAGGTTAATGTTGTAGTCCATGTTTTTATATGCTTTCTATTTTAGTTCCAACCTGAATTTTGAGCTGCACAACAGAAGGGAGATGCAGCTTTGAAAAAGAAGACGGAAACATGTTGATATGCCTAGGATACACTTCGCTGCATAACTCCCAATTGCTGATCTGTTACATAAATTTGTCATATTTAGAACTGCGGAACTAGTAGTGTTACGCTGTAACCTTGATTTATAGCTCATGATTGTTGCATTTTGAGAGTTTGGGAACTGGAACTCGGGCTTGGAGCTTTTGACTTTGTAGTAAATGCTTTTGGAGTGGTTATAAGCAGTGTTCCCTCTAAGCTGAGTTAGTGTGAGTGAGCTCACAGGTTTTTAGCCTCCAGCTCACAGATTTTTGTCTTAGCTCAGGAAAGATGTGGCTCCAGAGCAAACTAATTTATGCAGCAGCCAAATCGCTTGCTCACAACTTTAATGCCAGTAGCTCACAAAGTAGGATTTTTGCTCACAAGACTCCACAGCTTAGAGGGAACATTGGTTATAAGAAAACTTCAATAACTGGCTATATATTAGGAATATGCACTCGTTTGGTATTTAAAAAATTATTTCAAGGCATTGATATAACACTTGTTAATTGTATTCACAGTTGGTTTCTGTGTGTGTTTGATAACATCCGGGGTGGGGCCTGCATGTGTCCCAAAATTACCACTAATCTCCAGACTACAGAGTTCAGTTTTCCTGTAGAAAATGACTGCTTTGGAAAGTGGACTCTATTGCATTAAATCCTGC